ACCACCACCAGCAGACTTTCCGTCTGAATCACGACCACCCAGCATTTGCATGCTCGTAGCGATGATTTCGACAGTGTTTTTATCGATCCCGTCTTTGTCCGTGTACCTGCCATATTTGATGGCACCCTCGATGTAGACGGTCTTGCCCTTCTTGAGGTATTCGCCTGCGATTTCTGCCAGGCGCTCGTAGAAGGTGACACGGTGCCATTGAGTGTCCTCAATGAACTCACCGCTACTCTTGTCCTTTCGGCGACTGGTGGTGGCGATGCTCACATTGGCAACGGCCTTGCCGTTTTGCATATAGCGAACTTCAGGGTCACGGCCCAGATTGCCGATCAAGATGACTTTGTTGACAGATGACATTTTTTACTCCTGATAATTGAATGTTCAGGCCGAAACCGACCAATTTTGAAACGAATGACAGCCTTTTGCCGTCGTGATTTACTTGGGTGAGTTCAATACTTGAATGTCGTACTCGTTCTTGCGCCGTGTCTTGGTCTCACCATTTAGTTCAACGGTGAAATTGACGCTCCGTTTTTCAACGGATACTGTGTCACCTACCTGAAAAGCCCCTTTTGAGAACTTTTCCTGCAAGTCAACGCCAGAGAAGTTCTGCTTTCCCTCTTTGCCTTCCACGATGATCGTGAACGACTTGTAGGGTTTTCGGCCTTCAGCGGTGACTTCAGTGACACCAGCGAATAACAACACACCGGTTGCACTGTTGGATACTTTTGGTTTTTCAAAGGCTGCCGGCTTTGGAGTAACTTGGGGAGTCGGCGCTGGTTGCTGCGGTTTCACCTCTTGCTCGGGCGCCTTTTCAGGCTCCTTACGCTGTTGAGGCGGAGCCCCTGCAGTGCTCTTGCGAGTGATCGCAACACCATCAATCACACCAGCCGCCATTTGGCGAAGTGTGTAGTCCACTGCCGACTCACCTGATACAGCAAGCCCCAGAACCGACAACTCATCTGGGAAGATGGGTGTCAAGTCAGTTCGGCGGACGATGCCATTTGCGTGTGTGCGGATGAACCGCGTGTACTCGCCACCCGTTTGCAGAACCACAGTCAAGACCGAGGCCTGATCAAATGGATGCTGCCAAAACTTGAGTGGCTTGCTTGTCGGCGATTGGTGACTTTGAACCACCTCTTGTCGTTTTTGCTCTCGGGCAGTGGGCACCTGGTCATCACCCATTCCAAGCATGGAACGAGCAAAGCCATGAGCCATCGTGCGCCAGGAGCCTTTCAAAGCCGGTACATCCAGCAGAATGCCAAGGACCATGGTAGGGATGCCAACAATGGCACACACGACATATCCCGTGAAAACACATCCGCCCCAAGCCAAAATGCCTGGGTTTTCTGTTTGGGTCATCAGACTCCTTTCATCCCCTATAAAACTGTAGGGTAGTTGCGAAGTCGGGAGCGGTTGTCGCTTCTCCTGAGCGCATATGAACATAAGCTCAGGAGAAGCGGCGTTAGCCACTTTCTTAAACATGCAAGCTCCCATTTTTTCTGAACTTCACGTCCGGGATGGAAGTGGAAAGTCAGTTGTCCAGAAAGAGTAAGCAAAGAGGCTTTCTGCTACCGGAATTGGTAGTAGAAAGCCCCCGAAAGAGCTTGTTGTTCGGATACCGATACCACCTATCAGTGGATAGCAACCGAAATGTAGGGACGCAAACGCTGTTGAAGCCGCTTGAGTTCGTCCGGGTACGTGGCAACGATTACCGCTACCATCAGGCGGATTTCTCCAGCGAACTCCGTACTTATGGCACTGCGGATTTGCTCCGCGTCTGCCTGCACAAATGCGCACGCATCGTCAAACGAGAGCCGTGACGGTGAATCCCACAAGTCATAGCACCACATGAGGTCAACCCACGCGGAACGACGAACTTCATTCACATCCGTCGATTTTTCAATGTGGCGAACCTTTTTGAGATTTGCCGCCATTTGTTCAATGAGCATGCCGCTGTACACGACGTCCTCAATCACTGTTTCCACTTCGTCATCCGTGAAGGTGACGATATCCATTGGCTGGCCCTTGTAGACGGCCACTTCTTGTCCAAATAAATCCAGCATAAATGCTCCTTTAATCCTGCATTTGCAGTAAATAAAACGAGCAGTAGGGTTCAACCCTTCCAGGAAAACTGGGGACCAATTCTCTTGGAAAGGCTGCAAGCAGCCCTTCACTTTGTTGTCAGAGGTTCGTTACGTTGATCACCGCGTCACACATTTCCAGCAGTTCTGGTGTTTGTGTAATCAGGTATTCACGCTCGTAACCACCGCGTTCGATAACGGCACGCTTCATCGCCAGGTACTGGCGCTTGCGCAGCGGGTCCAGAGGGCCGTCCGATTCATCGCTGAACAGGGTTTGGCTTCTCACGTCCTCAACTTGCGCCATGTACAGGGCCATGGCTCGTACCAGGCACTCATTGATCCAGACCTTTTCGCCACCGGACATGTCGTCGAGTCGCTTGCTCTCACCGCGGTGGTTGTCCTCGACCTGAATCTTGAACGTCTCCTTGGTGATGCCGGCCTGGGTGTCCTGCTGAGTCACCAGCGACAACGCAAAGCGCCCGCCGTAGCAGTCATTCAACAAACCATTGGCAATGTCTGCGATAGCAGGCCCAGCATCTTCAATGGACATGGCAACAATGCCGTCTGTGCCCAAGGCCTTGGTGAGCAAAACCCACTTGCTGATTTCCGCAGCCAGTTTGTCCACCCTCGCCTGCCCTTCTTGCGCCTGCATATTGATCTGCGCAAGCAGTTCAAATTGCGCGGTCACTGAGGCAAGCGACTGCTGATGAACCACCAGCTGGGCTTCAGTACTCTTGATGCGCTGCGTTGTTTCCACTTCGCTTGTCAACAAGGCATCAACGTCCAGGGATTGCTCCAGGGGCGGCAGTGTCTTCCTGACTTGCTCAAGCGCTTCCAGGCGTTCAATGTGCTTGGCTTTCAGCTTCGCTTCTGCATCGGTGAACCGTGTCACCAGACCGTCTACATCGAGACTTGCTGCTTCCAGTGCTTGAACGGCCCGAGTGACGTCCTCATTGGCTTGCTGGAGTTTCCAGCGCACCTGGGCGACGTCCTTTTTTGCCGCTTCAATCTGTGCCGCACCATTGACCACAGCTTGCGACGCGTTCAACGAGTCCTTCAAGGCACCGATCGCCTGCATCGTCGCATCGCTTTGTGACTTCGCTTCGAGGAGCGTTGCCAACTCGTCCTGCAGCGACTTGCGCCGCACATTCTGGGCGCCGTAGGAAGTGCGAGCCGTATCCAGCTTCACCTCGAACTCAGGTACCTGAGATGCCGCGCCATTGGCTTGAGCCAGCAACATGCATTGGCCGTTGAAGTCAGTACCCTTACAGGGCACTTTGTCCAACAGTTCAGCCGTAGCCTTTGCCGCCAAAAGAGCTTGCGCCAGATGCTCGCCGTCTTTTTTGGTGCCCGCCAATCCTTCAGCCACAGCCGACAAATTGGTTCGCACCTGTTCCAGCAAAATCACTTTTGGCGCCAGATCGTCAACCACCCTCTGGTGCGAAGCCATCTGTGCCGTGATTTCAGCTACCTTGGCCTGAGCCTCGAACAGCGCCGGTTCCGTTGCGATGACCGCCTCAATCCGTGTCACATCGCCTTGCAGAGCAGCCACCAGCTTGTTGGCAGCGTCTACACCTTGTTTGGCCTGACTCCAACGCAAAGCACTTGCTGCTACCGCCTCGGCTCGGGCCTCATCATGAGCCACCAGCTCATCAGTTTCAGCATTGTTGGTTTGAGCCAACTGGACCTTAAACGCTTCGTGCTGGGCTTGTGCAGCCTTGTGCTGCTCAAGAGATCCCTTCGCGCTTGCAATTTGAACCGCAAGTGAAGCAGCCATGGCCCGAAGTTCAACCAGTTGGACAGAAGCCACTTGTTGATTTTCACGCGCTTTGTCGGCCTTTTCTGTGAGGGTCACAGGGTCTGGGGCATTCGCCTTTGTCCTGTTCAACTCATCCTGAGTAGCCGCAAGCCGCGGCTTCAAAGTCTTGAGCACTTCCGCAGCCTTTACCGACAGTTCGGCCGCTTTCGCCGCGCCAATCATGTCTGCAATCAGCCGCTTCACTTCACCGGACGTCATCGATCCGATGGGTGCCTTGCCTTGGGCGCTGAACTGAGCCTGAAAAAACACCTCGGGTTTCCCCAATATGCATTCGATGGCCCTGTCATAGGTGTCAGCCTTGCCGTCACTCACTGCACCCGTCTTGGGGTCACTCCAGGGAGTGCTTTGTCCGCCCTCGCCCACCACGAACAAGTAGGCCTCGGTCTTCTTGGTTTTGGCGGTGGCACGAAAGCGCAGAACGCTTTTGTAACGCACGCCAGAAAACTCCCAGATCAACTCTTTCGAGCCCTCTCCACCTACGATGTGATCGTAGAACGAGAAGGCGCTGGGTGTTGGTCCACCAGCCCGAGACGGCATGAGCCGGTACGGGTGGAGGTTGTCCATGATGGTTGTTTTACCGGCGCCGTTGGGACCGGCGATCGCAACTATCTGGGCGTCAGCCGGAACAGCCTTCTCAAGATCGACCACCACCTCATTTTTGCCCTGCCCTGACAAGATGCCGGCAAAGCCCTTCAGCGTGAGACGAATGGGTCTCATGATGTCCTTTCTCCGCAAAAGCGGGTTGGTTGAAAGGAGTAAGCCTTGAGGCTTTCTACTGCGCCCTGTGGACTCNTGCTGCGCTTCTGGATGGGCAGTAGAAAGCCCCCGAAGGGACTTTATTTGGTGGATCAGTTGAGCCAAACAAGTTGGTACCGGAAGCAGTTATGCATTACGGTCTTGTTCGCTCTTGTAGGTTTAGACAGGTGCCAACCATATCGAGCAACAGTCTTGGTTCCCAAGCAGTCGTTATATAGAACCACATCCTTTAGCTTGCCATTCGAATTAACGAATGACACTGGATCAGCAGTTCTCTCACGCCGCGCATACAAAGTCAGCATCACACCAACTCCAGCAACGCAGCTTCCGCATCGGCTTTCAGGTTGGCCCCGACACCAAACATGGCGCTGTCAAAGCGGTTTTCCTGACTGCGTGACCGCACGTGGTGATCGGCATACTCGGTGACTGCATTGAGCAGCCCCCAGGCGGTGCCAGCCACACCGGGCAGATCAGAGCCTTTGGCCCCGCCGTTGAAGAGCCCCATGATCTTGCGAAAAGCAGCGGATTCACGCACGTCCTTCTGTCCCCCCGTAGATTCAGGCAGCAGCGATGCCACCATGGCTTGCGCGTCAGGGCCGGTCATGTTGACTTTCGTCAACGACCTCATGTTGCCAAGAAACACATCGAATGCTTTCGCGCCGATGAGGCCCATGTCTTCCTTCACTGCATTCGGGTTGAAC